CCAACATGAAATTCTCATGATCTGCTATACAACAATGTTCATAGTTAATGCTGTACACTTAAAATTCTGTTAAGAGGGTAGATTTTATGTTACTTTTTTTTAAACCACAGTTTCTAAAATAAAAGAAACCAAATGAAGCAAAAATATATTTGAAATCATTCATGGCATACATATAATTTGTAATTGCATCCAATCAAGCTGTGATAGTCTTGAATTCAACAGAAGTGGTAGTTGACATAATTTACAAATATAAATACACAGAACTACAATATTATATATACACATACACAATTTTTGTGATGAGGCTGGTGTTGAGTGAAAAATACTTCTGCCTGGGGCTTCCTCATTGTCCCCTGACCAAATCGCCACATCTGCCTGCATCTGTATCTATACTCTGTGCCTTCTCTCTGATTACAACAGATAAACTGTCCTTGTTCATATCAAAGGGCAACTACTTCCCTGGCACTGTTAATCTTATCTCCTCTTCTTCCTCAATAACTTCACTCCTGCAATTTTATCTTCTTTCTCTTTCAGCATCAATTTCTTTCCTTCAATGAGATCAGTTCCATCAACATAAAATATGTTCTAGTACTTTCCATTGCTAATTATTTTCCTTTGATCCTAAATCCTTCCCCACCTATCAGTCCTACTTGTCTCCCTTTCACAGTAGAACTTCTCCAAAGAGTTCTTCATAATGGGTGCCTCTACTTACTCATCTTCATTTATTTCTGTGACCTACTTCAAACAGGATTCTGACCTCACTGTTCCATGAAAACTGCTCTTTTAAATGTTGCAATGGCCTCTGGGTTGTAAATCCAATGATCACATTCCTGTCTTAATTCTGTTTGCCTTTTTAGGACAATTGACCATTCCCACCTGCTCCTGGACTTTTCTCCTTGGCTTTTAAGATATCTCCTTGTCTGGTATTGTCCTACCTCAGCCCCCTGGTTGGCTCCTTCTTGGTTTGATGTCTAAGGGGGAATGCCTTGTTCGGTCCTTTATCTGCATATGCTCCCCTGGATAAGATTAATTACTTCCATAGTTTAAATACTATGTATGTGCTGATAGTTCCCAGATTTATATCTTTAGCCCTGAAATCATATACTTGATTTCCTAACTCGAATGTGTATCTAATAGATTTCTTAAATGCAGCCTGTCCAAAAAGAAAGTCAGTTTCCTCTGGCCAACACCAATCTGCCCTAATCTTTTTCCATCTCAGTAAAAAGCACTATCACTCATGTTTTTTCCCTTTCCCTCCACCAGCCACATGCCACCCATTAGCACGTCCTATTAACTCCTCTCCAAAACTTACCCGAATTTGTCCGTTTCTTCCTATATCCATCACTACCACCTGTGTCCCAGCTAGTATCATCTCCCTGGCCCTCAACAAGTCCTTCCTGACCTGCCTCCCTGCTTCTCACTCCTGCTTCTTCTACAAACCTTTCTCCTTGCAGAAGCTAGGATATCGTCTAAAATCACAAAGCCAGTCCTGTGGCGCTGCTGTGCTTAAAAATTCTCCAGTAAGAGAATAAATTTCACTCTCTGCTCTGGGCTGCTGAGGCCTATGTGGTTGAGCTCCTGTTTGCCCCTCTGTCCCCGTCTTCTGCCTCCTTCCCTCACTGTGCTCACTGATGCTGACTTTTGGCCAATTCCTAAAGCATATTAAGATCTTTCTTTTCTTAGGTACTTTGCACTAAATTGGTCCTTTTGTCTCAAATTTTCTCCCCTCAGAACAGTGTGTAACTGACTCCCAGCTCCTGGGGCAGGATTTCTCTAACCAGCCTATCCAATGCCACTCTGTACCATATTACACCTTTTTATTTCTCAATTGCACACATCACCACTGAAAAGCATTGCTTCTTTAAATTAGTGTACTTTGCGGGGGGGGGTCTGTATTCTCCACAAGAACGTAAGTGCTACAATGGTAAGATTGCTAGGTTTAGCAAATAAAAATACAGGATACCCAGTTACATTCAAGTTTCAGATAAACAAAGAATAATTTTTAGTATGTTTTATGCAATACTTGGGACAACTGTATACCAAAAAAAAAAAAGGTTGTCATTGCTTATCTGAGATTCAGATTTAACTGGGCATCTGTATTTTATCTGCAACTCTGTCCAAGAGCAGAATTACCTAGACTACTTTATCATCCTAACAGATACAGTGATGTCTGACATACAGCAAGTGCCCCATAAAATACTGATGAAATGAAACAGTGATTAAAGGAACAAAAGAAGAGAAAGGAATCAATGCTCAATCCAAAAACTAGTTTTAGTTATTGTGATAGTTAGTTTTATGTATCAACCTGACTGCTCAGAGAGCTGGTAAAACATTATTTCCAGATGCGTTGGTGAGGGTGTTTTGGGAAGAGATTAGCATTTGAATTGCTTAACTGAGCAAAGTAGATTGCCCTCCCCAGTGTGGGTGGGCATCATTTAATTCATTGAGGGCCCGAAAGAGAACAGAAAGGTGGAGGAAGACCAGATTTGTTCTCTCCCAGCTTGAGCTGAGACATCCATCCTCCCCTGCCTCAGACAAGGCGATCCAGATTCTTGGACTTTTGGACTCAAATCAGGACTTCAAACCATCAGCCCCCTGATTATCAGGCCTCTGGACTCTGACTGAATTACCCTGCTAGCTTTCCTGAGTCTCCAGCTTGCAGGTGGCAGATCGTGAGACATCTCAGCCTCCGTAACTGCTGAGACAACTCCTGTAATAAATCTCCTCTTATGTGTATCTATATATAGCCTGTTGGCTCTGTTTCTCTGGAAAACCCTGACTAATACAGTTATCCAGACTGTAACCCAGTGCCTCTCAAGCATCAGCCTGTATCAGAATCACCTGGGGGCTTGTGGAAATGCGGATTGCTTAGCCCCGGCCACAGAGATCCTGATTCAGCAGGTCTGAGGCGGGGCCTGAGAATGTGCATTTCTAACACATTCCCAGATGGGGCTGATGCTAGCGGTCAAGGGTCACACTTTGAGAACCTCAGGTCTAGCTCACATCTGAGGTCTCTGAGTTGCTTATTTAACAGACAGCCTTCACTTGAATTCCAATTTAGGGACAGAGGAAAGAATACTGGAGTGTGTGGTTCTAGTCTACCTGGAAACAAAAAAAATGGGCTAAATCTCGTGCTGTAAAGAAGGATTACCTTCTGCAGCATGCCTGGCCTTTAGCTCTATTCAGCTGAATCAATGCATAAAAAAAAATGACCCCTAGGATGAGTAAGAAATCTCTAGACACACAGTGGACTGTAGGACCAGACACACACCTTTAGAGGAAACTCATACAGCAATCAGAGCATCTCAGGACAGAAAGCGGGAGTCACGTGACAGTGTCTGAAAAGCTGGCCAAACAGAAAGAAGTCCCACGAGGCCCCATTTATGTTTTCCAAGTTAATTAAATTTATTTAATCATTTATTTGAGAGCTAGTTTTCTCTCCAGGATTGGTAGCCCCTGACAACAGACAAAGAGGACAAAGGCACAGCTCTACCAGGTGGCAGCATGAATTGTGTCTCTGTGTAATTTATGAATGTTCTGGGACCCCTTCATTTCCACAAAATGATCCCTCACTCCTATTCCTGAACAACTTCAGCCCTTTACCTTGGAGATATTTTCCCCCTATCTCCTCATTTTCTCTTGGTCCCGTGTGGTCCTAATAGTCCTTGTGATAAATGTTTGTGTGCTTACACTTTAATTTTATTTTATGAGTTAAGAGACTGAGTTGAGAGGATACCTGTGCTTCAGGGATGGAAATCACCATGGCTGCTTCTTCGGTGATTTTAGCCACAACTCCAGCTGCCCTGACTCTCCCTTCTGTTTTCCCAGTTTCCCAGGTTTTCTACCGTGAAGCCGTTTTCCCACTCTCCTGTCAATTCCACTGCTGCATGACCTTGACATTCCTTTCTTCTCTTTCACAGACCTCCACGGCCCTGGTTCAAGTCCTCACATCTCTTGCCTGGGTTCCCTGCTTCCCCTTTTCCAGTCCATCCTGTAACCACGTTTTCATTCATTTATTCACTCAGTATCAATTACTGAGTACGTGCTACACATCAGATTGTGCTAGATGAACGGGGGAACAGGATGATGTCGCTCCCTTTCTTTCAAAGCACGACTGGGATTTGCCCTGAACTCCCCTAGCATTTGGATCTTGTCTAAGCTTTCTCCTCCTGGGAAGTTCTCTGCATCTTCCTCTGTTGAAGTCCCGTTTCCATTTCAAGGTTTAGGTACTCTCTCCTCTCCCTCTTCTCTACTGCAACACTGTCGCCCCTTTAATGTAAAGTGCATCCTAGCCATCCATACTGATACTGTTGCGTTAAGTGTTGGACCTGCTTCCTGGCTTCCAATGGTATTTATCATCCAGTAGAAATAGTTCCTCTAGAATTTGTTTGTGTGGCTGTAGGGGAGGCAAAACTTGACCTCTACCCATCTTTGGTTTTCAGCTGAAACTCTAACAAAAAGATTAGCAAGAGGAAAAGGAACAGTTTATTAACATGTGCAGCGCACATCACACAGGAGAATGCTAAAGGACAAGTAACTCCAAATGGCAGCTTAAAACTCCAGTTTACACAGCATCTTCAACAAAGAACAGCTGATCTGTAGAAAGACGGCAGGACAAAGGGGTTTGGGCTGGGGAAGTGAAATGTGGAGCAGTCACTAGGAAGATAACAGTTAGTTTAGCAAGATGTGTTTGTACAGATTCTCACGCCCAATTCCCCATCTCTGGTGATAAGAATGTCTTCCTCCTGATACAGAGAGGGCACCTTTCACTTGTGAGTTTTATCTCCTGCTTTCAGGAAGAAAAGAAGGGTCTTCTTTCTACCTGCTGTTTTTCAAATTACTTTAACTCAAAATAATCAACATGCCAAAAAGGCATTTTGGGGGACGACATGCTCTGAACTGCTTCACAGCTAAAGGATTTCCGGGGTATGATGGTACAATGATCCACTCCAAGGCAGTGGAAAGGCATTAGCACACAGCATGTGTCTGGAGAGAAAAAGTCTGGTGGCTACATCTTTATGAAAGCATGTGGAATGGTGATGTCCTCCCCCTACCACTCCACATCCACTAAACAATTAAATGTGTCCTCTCCCCCCTTGCTTTGGAGAACCTAGTGTCACAAATGGCACTTAGATAGCATTACAGTCAATCATGTCCCAAAAGTGACTCAAGTCAAAAAATTCTGAGACTGACAGTCTGTTGTCTTCTTATTTTGACTCTCTCCATAGTAGTTCCAAGGTTGTATTTCATCTTTTTAAATTTTTACTTGTTATAAAACCTCTATTAAAATAGCACAAAAGGGGATTTTGAAAGAAGAAAGTCCCCCATCTCAATGCTCTTTCTTTTCATCACAAAGAAGGACTTGCTGTTTAGGTGATGTGGGGTTTAAATGCCTGTTGCTGTACTGAGGGCTGAGGGAGGTCTTGTCGTGTCTAGAACCTGGACTGGGTCAGCTAATGAATCAGTGGTCATTAGTGTTTCACATCCCCATTTGCCCATTCTGAGATATTAAAATAGGGAAGCTGGGTACATTATCAACGCTCATTTGCTTATTTAATATGATTTCTGGGACACCAGGAGAGGGTCTTCGAGCAATAAACTCTCTCACTTGTTTGCTAGTCCCTAAAATGTTGAGGTACATGATTCCTTTGCTTTCAGACCCTGACCTCTTTCAAAATGATGGCGGTAACTAAGTGAGCTGCTGGTTGTTGACAGCCATTTCTATTCGGTATGATGTGGTTTCAGGTTTTATCTTGAGAGGGATTTTCTTTGGGAAAGAGCTTAAGGTCCAAAATATGGGAAAGAGACTCCGGTGACAGGTTGGGGAATGCCAGAGAAAGCTCTGGCTCACATCACACCACAGTTTGGTCTAGGATCAGCATTGTGGAAAACACCACCACCAAATCTTAGAAAAACAGGTAAATCTGAAGTCTTTCTCTCAATACATGGAACATCAGAACACTCTGCAAGATGACTGTATACATAGGGAAGAAAGTGAATGAATCTCCACGAGAAACATCTGGACTCTTCTTTAGAGAACACTGCACTAAGATGAAACTTTAACCATCCAGAGTAAGTCAGGCCTGAGAGAGAGGGATGGACAGCGGAAGAGGGCGCCCTCATTGGAAGAGTACGTCAGTGCTCTCCCAGCCGCCAAAAGGTGGTGTTAAATGGGTGACACTGTTTGGTGGGAACCCAACCCTGTATCACATGAGCATGTGGGTTGTACCAGAGTCTGCCACTTCTAGGGCACAAAAGAGGCAAGAAAGACTTTCTTTTACCAAACTTGCTTTTCTATAAAATAGCTTGGGACTGAACATGCAGATTCTTAATTACCTTGTCCCCTCAGATGTGGTGACTCAGGTGGAATGTTCCCAGCCAGGTAGGCTGTGGGTCTGTACCCCTAGTCAGGAGTGGTGCCCACCTTTCCTCCCGGGAAGATCTGCTTTGAGGCCCTTAATTCTCAAAGCCCTCTGTTAACAGCAGCCTAAAGAATTATTCTTAGGACTTAAGTCTTGTAAAACAGCCAAAAGTCCCTTAAATTCTGGGCCCTATTATGTGGAGATATGCCAACCCCACCCTCTGGCCTGCTTCCTGCTTGGCAATTTAGAAAGAAAGCAGAACAGTGAGCTTTCCTAGCCCATTATTCACCTCTGAAAGGTAATCAAAGGGAATGTCTTTCCTCCTATTATCCTATTGTTCAATTTTATGGAGGGCTGCCTCTGAATACAGATGTTGTCAAAGCAGCCAAGAACCTAATGTAAACAAGAGTTTCCTAATAATATTTGTTCAAATTATCTTATTCCCATGGCTAGCACTGCCAAATTCCTGAAGGACACAGTGGGGCTTCCATACGATTTAATTGACTTTAACAGCTGACCATCTACCTACAGGACAGCCAAGTAGGCCCTAGGGGTACCAGCTCAAAATGTCATGTGGATGAAATCATATGTGTGTATTCTTTTTTGTCTGGCTTCTTGTGCTCAGGCTCATGTTTGTGAGAATTCATCATGTTGTATGAAGCTGTAATTGATCGTGTTCATGTCTATGTAGCCTTCCATCATAGATCTATGCCACTGTTCATCCATTTTGCTTATGGTGGACATTTGGGCTGTTTCCAATTTGCAGCAAGTATTAGTTTCCTATTGCTTCTGTAACAAATGACCACAAGTTTAGTGGCTTAAGATAACACAAAATTGTAATATTGCAGTTCTGGAGGCCAAAAGTCTAATGTGGGTCCACAGGGCTGCCTTACTTCTGGAGCCTTTAGAGGAGAATGCATTTCCTTGCCTTTTGGAGTGACTAGAGGCCACACATACTCTTTGGCTCATGGTCCATTTCTCCATCTTTAAAGCCAATAACATGGTATCTTTTCTCCTCTGTGACCTGTTTCCATCCTCACATTTCTCTCTGATTTTGACCTTCCAGTGTCCTTCTTATAAGGATCCTTGTGATTACATTGTCCCACCTGGATAATCCAGAATAATCTACCAATCTCAACATCTTTATATTTATCACATCTGCAAAGACCCCTTTGCCATGTAAGGTGGCATGTTTATAGATTCCAGGGATTAGGTTGTGAATATGTTGGGGAGCGGGGCACTATTTAGCTCACCACAGAGCATTTTGAATAAACCTGCCATGTACATTCATCTACATGTCTTTTGGTAAAAATATTCTGCATTTCTCTTGGGTATATACTGAAGAATGGAATTGCTGAGTTATAGAGTATAAACATGTTTAGCTTTAGATTCTGCAAAAATGGTTTTTCAAAGTGGTGCTAAGTTACCTTCCTCCCCAGCAGCACATGAGAGATCCAGTTGACCCACAACCTCTCTAACACTTAGTGTTGATATTTAACCATTGTAAGATACAGAGGTATCTCATTGTAATTTTAATTTGCACGTCATTGATGACCGCTGAGGTTGAACAGTTTCTCATATATTTATTGGTCATTTAGATATCCTCTCTTGTGAAGCTTTTTTTTAGTCTTTTGCCCATTTTTCTATTTGGTTGTCTTTTTCTTATCGATTTGTAGGAGTTCTGTATATATTTTGGATCCAAGCTCTTTGTCATGTATATGTGCAGTAAATAACTTTTCCCCCTCTGTGGTTTGTCTTTTTAATCTTTTAATGGTATCTTTAATGCATAGAAATTACTGATTTTAAGGTAGTACAATGTCTACAAGAAATCTCAAGAAAAAAAATTAAATATTTTGAACTGAATGAAAATAAAAATACAACATAACTAAATTTATGGAGTGAACCTAACGCAGGGCTTCAAGGAAATTTTATAGTACTAACTTTTGGCATTGTTGATTTTATTGATTATAAGTTTGTTTTCTATCTTACTAATTTTTGTTTTTTTAATTTCCTTCTTTTTACTGTTAGATTTGATTTTCTGTTTCCTAAATTCTTTAGATTTTTAAATTGTTGCTTTTTCAGCTTTTAAAATTTTTCTAATATATGCATATTAAAGGTATAAATGGCCTCTAAGCTTGGCTTTAGCTGCATCCCAGAGATTTTGAAATGCAGCAATTTAATTATGGCTTAATTTGAAATATTTTCTAATTTCCATTGTGATTTCTTCTTTGGCCCATGGATATTATAAATGTATTGTTTAATTTCCAGACATATGGGGATTTTTCTCCTTAATGTTTTTGTTACTTATTTTTAGCTTGATTTCACTGTGGTCAGAGGAAAAATATTAATATTGGTAGTGCAAATTCTCAGTACCTTGGTAGCTCTCCAATGTCTTTAAAAAAAAGTTTTTATATTTAGTCCAACTTTTCTAGTTGTTTTCAGAAACAAGTATAATACAAAATAAACTACTCAGCTATTGCCAGAAACATGACTACCACCAATGATAATTAATTGTGATGCTGCCACAACCCACAGGTCACTCACCAGCAAAAAAAGAAAAAAGTCATCACTACATCCATGGTCAGAGAAATAAGCAACTTGATCTCAGAATTCCATCTTATTTTCTCCAAAGCCCATGTTCTTGCGATTTCTAACATGCCATTTATTACATTTATTACTGCTTTCCAGGTCCTCCCTGACTCCACACTTTCTAACTAGTCTTATTTCTCCTATGTCCTAACTCGCTCTTCCCACTAGACTTTTTCAATGCTCTTCTCCCTCTTGTTTGCAAATGTCAAAAGCATGAGAATCGTGCTCCTCTGTTATGTTATCCTCAGACTCTCCTCACTTTTCTTTGAAATGTCTGCCCTGTGATTTTTTTTCAGTCTAATGCATAAGAAAATAGATACATAAGTATTAAAGTAAAAAAGAGGGTCATCTCCATGCCACTGAAATTGCCTGGAACAGCAGCAGCGGCACACGGCACGTTTTGGAAACTGAGCCGGTGTGAGGAGCCGGGGCCTCACCTCGCTGTGGGGTCAGAGGATGCACAGCGAGTTGTAGGGAATGTTATCGAGAGGACTTACATGTCTAATAGTTCACACCACACGCCCCACGTGGTCCTTTACATTTTGAGATTCTTGGCCCAGTTTCAAAATCTCAAAAATAGCACACAATTCTGGAAACATTTCTTTAGGTATAACTTAAAAAATTAAACCATATGATCTACAGCCCTCCTCCAAAGCTAGAAATTGCAGGCTTCCCTCGAAGATGGGGAGCACTCTTAATTGGAGACATAAATAATTGTAACATTCGTATCAGTGGGTTCCATAGGATTGCTTATACTTGAGTAGATCCTTGGGAGAGGGCAGTTTGCAGTAATTGCCGGATTCTCCAGGTCAAAAAGCAAACAAACAAACAAGCAAAAAAAAACAACAAAAGCCTCTTTTGGTGAAAGTAGAGATGGTAAAATGTTTTTAGTGTTATGGGTTTATTATTTCTTTGAGACTCATTTGAAGAGTAATGCCAGCCATCCCAGGCAGACTAAAATCTATGTGAATTATCAAGTCCTTCAAGGGAAGATCACTCCACTGAGCCCCCACATCACCCATTTCAAAACTCAGTCTCTCTGCCGTGGCCCAAGGCTACTTCCTCTCCTCTTCTTCGTGGAGATGGACATTAGCTGGTCACTAAGTCTGTAAAATAATCCCTAAGGTTTCAGACACCACAATCATTAACCTGCTCCTCAACCTTCTCCCTCCAATAATCCTCATCTCTTTAACCTTTCCTCACTGGCCCAATGTGAAGACTAAGCCCTAACTCAACCCTCATATTGGAATCTTCTCTGAATTTGTCTGACCTGAAAGAAGACAGAAGTGAAATCAGCACTGGATGAAACAGTGGGACAAAGCCAGGGACTGCCTCACTCCAGAATTATGCACGCTGTGAAAAACAGTGAAAAACAAGGCTACTCGAGTGTGTCTTCAGAAGTATCTTATTACAGTGAAGAAAACACAGCCGGGGTGAGATGCAACATGAGGTGCAGCCAGCACAGTGACGTCATGCCCAGGAGAGGAAAACAAACATCCCAGGGTTTGAGACCAACTCCCCAGAGAGATGAAGCCAACAAGGCAGGAGGGCCCTTGCTAGCAAAACCAATTGTAAACAAATTAAGGTAAACATGAATGAGTCCTTTTGTTCAATGAGATTCCAAGCCCTGGGAAAGCTGAGAAGCACCATATATGTATCATACATCATAGAAGTATCATGTATCAAGACACAGATGATAAATACCTGCAGGATTGTCTTATACATGACAAGCAGGAGTAAATGCACCATCTGAGAACTAGAAGCAATATCCTCAGCCCCCTTTCCTTATGTAAATTTGAAGTCAGAGCAGACAGAGAATTATTCAAGCTCTGCCTTAGTTTCCTACTTCTGTTAGGGTCTTTGAGATCACACTCTGCTTCCTTGCCTGAGTGATGAGCCAGTTGAGAAATAGATCAAGAAAGATGGAGGTCACAACAGCACTTTTATGAAGCTGATATTGAGGATGTAGCTTATATCTGTGAGCAAATAAACTTTCCAATACTGAATCCCTGTCACAGCAGCCTGGACCACAGCAGCCTCCCACCCCTGCCCTGCCATTCCCCAGCCCACCTCCCAACTTACGTTCCCTGAGGGCGGGGCAGCTCCCAAAGAGGAAAGCAGAGAGGGGCTGAGCCAATCACATTGGTTTGTTCTCTCCAAATTTCCTATGGCCAAATCACACCACCTTCTCCCAGCAGAGGAAGAGACAGCCCAGGGTGTTACATAATGAATAAATGGATGATTATGTGTGCAAGTGTAGGTGTGCATGTGCATATGTGTGCATGAGTGGGTGTACATATGTGTGCCTAAACGTCCAAATGTGCGTGTATGTCTGTATAAAGTCATCTCTGTAGCTCGAACTCAAGAAAAGGCTCAATTTGAGTCCCATTGGGAGCCCTGGAGAAGCAGGCTTCCTAGAACAAGGGAGGGTTTGCTCTTTCTCTCTGGTCTGTTCTGCTCAAAGTCTAGTGAGCCACAAGTGGACAGTACAGTGGGCATATCCAGGGGTGAACGACCTGACAGAGTAATACAGGGGCCTAAACCACATCAGCCTTTAATAGACTCGTTTGTGAGTCTAAGGAAAAGTCAAGTTCCAGGCAAAGACAGGCTGCCTGGTCGTTCTAGTTGACAGATGAGGCGTTGTAGGGGCAGCCAGGATGCAGAAGTAGAAGATGGTACCCTCAATATGCCACATCAGCCTGGGAGGATGGGGAAAAGGTCTTCCGCTCCAGGATTCAGTGGAACCAAGGAGCTAAAGATGGGATGAAGTTGGAAAGGCAAACACACCAGCAACTGAGGTGGATTCCAAGAATGAGGAATGGTTAGCAAGAAATATGTCAGGACCCAGGCAGCTAAAAGCCAACGTTGGGTGGATTCCCAAAGTAGGGACCTAAGAATGGAAAGGGATTGAAAAATCAAAGATCCAATGATGCAAAGACACATGGGCTATAGACTGCTGCTGGTCCCAAGGGGTGTAGTACCTGCCATCTGAGAAAGCTTAGTAGGCACTGGGTTCATTGCAGAAGAGCTGGTAGCTGTTAACTAAACTGTAAGCTCCTGGAAGGCAGGAAGTGCAGAGGTGAGGTCTTGATCATCAGGCAACCGATGGATATTGGCTGATCAGTTGCTTAAATAAGCCTTTCAAGAGAAAAGCCTCTTAATTGCTACCTAATGCCTTTGAACGGCTTTGATTTTCCAGTTTCTCTCTGCCTCTCTCTTTTTTTCCTGACAGCTGTTATTGCTTCAGCAAACTGAAGCTGTTGCTATTTCAGCATCCTTGCTAAGAAGGGCATCAGAGCATCTTAATGTCAGGCTGAGCTCACTCATCCAGATTAATTCCTTAGATGTTCAGCAGAATTTCGGGTAAAGTCACCTTTTGGGCGGAACAAAAGGCAGATAACTCACTTTATCTGACAGCCTTTTATCTTGTTGACAAACCCCAATTCTCATCCATTCCAATTTTCATGGCAATTCAAGAAATTGCTAGAAGAAGAAATGTGGACTTTGGAAAGATACACTTTGCTCCTTGCTATCATGTGAAGGCCTCATCGTCCCTGCAGTTTCTGATTTGGTTCCCCGGGATTACAGAACCATGGCAATTACTGTGTCCCCTAAGTTTCTCGCTGGTTTTAAAGAAGTAGCTGGTTTCCACTTTTATTTATGGAAACTTCAAGAATTATCTCCAAAGACCAAGCGTCCAAGAAAATATGCAGAATCCTAGAGTTGGAGAGGACATGTGTGGTGACCTCACCCTCTCCTGTGTCAGATGGGTAAACTGAGGCTCAGAGAAGTGACTCTTGCCTAAGGTCTAACAAAGTGGAATGTTGGCACTTTGAACCAAGCTAACCCATGTTTTAAGTAACACTCCTCCTCATTGACAGAAATACTGGCAGTGGATCCAAATATTAAAACCATACATGCAAGAGAAGGATTAAAAATAGAATAAAAAGTAATCAAAACAAAAGGCAAAAATAAGGGGAAACATCTTAAACAAAAAATAAGGCACATGGCATTTGCTGCCTAGACCAGGTAATTGTTCGGCTAAACACAATTTTGCACCCATAAGACAAAGCACTCTAAAGCTGTCTAAACGTGTATCTCAAAAAGTGCATTATATCCCTTTTCTCTCTGCAAAAATGACAAGCAGTTTTAATCTTTTTCAAGCAAGTGATGACAACCCCTAGCACCCAGCATTATGAAAATTCAGAGATGTAAGTTTCACCCTTCATCTCTCTCAGTTTTTATCCTCAGAACAAAGGAAAATTGTCAGGCATTGTGCTGACAATGGAAACGTAAGCTCTTTTTCTTTTTCTCCTGTTTTTTTTGTTGTTGTTGTTGCTAGGGTATAAAACTACATGTGCCATAAAACTCTCTCCCATCTGGCTGGTGTTTGAAACTTCACTGGGACCCAGCTTTTACAGTTGAGCAATTAATTCTCTCTAACACTTGGGAGCTGCTGAAATACAGGAGGTTTCAGGTAGAGCAGTTCATGACCTTACGCCTTTGTGAGTTGTACTGAAAACTGACTTCCTGCATCACTG